TTGTTTCTGATAGTTATCTACAATAAGTTTGGCTACAAGGCAATTTAGTACGACTTATGCAGCTTCATTTTGTTACGTTTTAGATCAATAGGCTTCGTACGGAGGTGAAGAAAACAGAAGATGAAAATAATCTCTTAATTAAAGAGGGAAAGTAAGTCATTATTTTTCAATATCACATTTGCAGTGGGATGCACTTGATACTCCAAGAAGTTCAAAATTGTGAAGTGTAGTCTTAACCATAAAACTCCCAGAAGTGATTAACACATAACTTCTCCCCATGATATCCATACATTATCTAGTAAAAAGTTAATGAGATTACTCAGACTTATCAGGTTGAAGTTGTCATCTTGATCTAACACCACATTCCCGTAACTAATTTACAAGGAAATGTGTAGCAGTTAGTGGGGAGAATTAACAATCAGATCTTGGGAGTTGAAGGGTTAAATGTATATAAGTTTAATATCTCTGAGGGTGTGGTAAAGGTGAATGAAACAGAATTTCTCCTTGTGTCATAAGTACAATATCAACCAGACAAGTGATGAGAAGTTTTGAAAGATATCAATAATGTGACTATTCGTTGATCCAATACAAAAATTCTCCCAACTCATACTACCAGGTATAAGAATTGTATAGCAGACAGTAAGGAGAATTACTAATAAGATCTTTGGAGTAAAAGGGTTAATGCTTTGGAAAAAGTGTCAGCATGCGGACATTTGAATAGTTTATCATGAAAAATTCAATTTGAAGTTCGGTTTGGAATAAGAAATCACAGGTTAATTTTTCAAATGCTAAATAATTTGCTAAGCTCATGGAGCGACAGTTTTCAAGTGCTTATATACTCCAAACCTCATGAAAGTATTTTATCACTGTTCAATGAAAAAAATTAAATTCTTACTTATTGCACTGTTGGTTTCTTTTCATGCTCTCAGCCAATGACCATTCAGAAATTTTTGCAAAATGACATCATCTACTTACGATTTTCCTTTACTCTCTGCGCTACAATTTTCATGAAACTTGAGTCATTTCTTTTTCTTTCTATTTTTTAACTCGGAATCTTTTGTTTTAAGGGTCTAAGGAAAACTCTCTCATTAAAATTTACCAGTCCGCACCTCGAAAGCGAGGCTTGCGATAAAATTCGGTAATGTGATGTAACCACCCATGTAGCCTGCTTAAAATTCTGCAATTATTAATGGCTGCAATTACAACAGCAAATTTTCATTGCAAATTTTCCTAGTATAGTCTAACGGCTTATTAAAATTAGACGTGGTATGTTCCTTTGGGATTTTGGAGGTTGTTTCACTATTCTACAAGGGAAATCCTAACACTAACTCTTGGTCTGTTGCTGAAGTTTACATTCGTCATTTGAGTAAGACTTTTTATGTTCATGTTAGTGTTATTATCCTATTTGATTTAGAATCATACCTCTGTTATGTTCTTAGATAAGCTTAAGTTGAGCCGTCAAATATTGAAGTTTTCCCTTGAGAAATTCCAAGTCTGCGTTTTCGCGCAGACGTGGATACGTTGCGTCATCTGTCACGTGAGTTTTTTCATTGGCGGGAAATTTGCACCGCCTGCG